AAATGCGTAATGTTGGAGCTAATTCAAAGATTTGTGATTGTGTAAGTTAAAATTTTTTTTTTAAATTAAAAAAATAATTTCGTCAAACTAATTGCTGAATTAATTAGATAATTTAATTCAGATTATTTCTTAATTTGTTTGATAAATTAGTACAAATCATTTTATAATTAATATTATTAATAAATTTTTTTTTTATAACCATTATGAAAGAAATTAACTTTTGTTTGCATTTTAAAATTTTTTTTTAAATTTTAATCACTTTTAATAGTCAATAATTTTTTTCATTTCCTTTTTTTTAAAATTTTTTTATAAAAAATTTTTGAATCATTTTTTAATTTTATAAAATTTCTTTCAACAACTATTTTATAGAGGGAAAGAAAGAAAGAAAAAAAAGTTATACAATAATAACTTTCAGAATGGTCGAAAACCAAGTTATTATTTAAATAATCCCGAGGAAATTGATTTGAAAGCAATTAACGCTGATAGAGAAATTATCTTGGATGAAGTAAGTAATCAATCATTGTTACATTTTAATTAAAATATAAATTTAAAAAATATTTAAACAAGAAATGCATTATTTAATTATTTTGCTTTTTTTTTTGAACAAAAAGTGAAAAAAAAAATTTGAATAACAAAAAGCTAATGTTTAAAAATTTTTTATTTAAAGAAAAATTAATCAAAAACAAAATAAATGAAAAATTTTTTGTGCATTTTTTTTTTCTTATATTAATAACAGAAATTTTTTAATTTTCTTGTCTTAATTATAATAAAATTTTCATTTTCTTTTTGAATTATTAATTTCAAATTTAAATTTATACTGTAGTTCTTTTCTTTTTTTTTCTTTAATAAATTGCATTGTATATTTTTATTTATTTAAATAAAAAATACACAAAAAAAAAAAAGAAAAATAATTTAAAATTTTTTATAGATTATCCGTAGTCGTATAACAACATCTTATTTGCAATCAAATATTCGTCAATGGCTTCATGATGGTAATATTAGTAAATTAGAGCAATTGGTACTTTCGGGATGTGGTGATTTACTTTTTGGTCATACAACAAGTAATTCGAATTCAAATACTTTCCTCAATCAATTGAATACTTATCTGGTAAATAATTATTTTATCAAAATAATTATTGCTAATTAAAATATTATCATAATTATTTCTTCTCAACTAGTTAGATCATATATTATTTTAAGTAAGAAATTTTTTTATAATTACTTTTTTGTTCTCTCATTTTTTCATTAAAAAATTTTGATTTAAAAAAAAAAGTTATTATATTACAATTATTTGATATAGTCTAATTAAATTTTTAACTAATATAATGTATTTGTTCAATTTTTAAATATTATTATATTATTTTTTGAAATAAATTTTTATATATTTATTTGCTAGTTTTTCTTTTCTTACATTATTATAACTTTAATTGATTTCAATTAATCAAATTTTACTAATTAATCATTTTCTTCTAATTATTCATATGCATATATTATTTTCATTTCTTTTTTTGTCATCTTTTTACCGGAAATTTTGTCCTTGAAGAAGTAAAAGTTATTATAATGTCATCGTATTGTTCATTCTTTTCCTCCGTTTCTGATTTCAGGTAGCATCAATAAATGCTTTATTTAAACGGAATTGCTTCCCTTTTTATTTATTTTTTTTTTTTTGTTTATTTTTTTATTCCAAACGTTATTCTTTATTCTTTAGTAAAGTGTGCCATCTATGCCAATTACAAGGTCAAACCTCTTTCTTCCTTATTTTTTCTCTCTCTTTCTCTCTTTTTAAATAAATAAAAAAAAGAGAAAATAAATTATATTTTTTCGTTTCCTTCTTTTTTATATTTTGTCTGATCTATTTTATCAATCAAATAATATTCAATCAATAAAAAAAAACAGAAAATTGGTCAAACATTCATTCTTTATTATGTAATAGCAACAACAAACAGTAATAAATAAAAATAATAACAACCAATAATAATAGTAGCAATGATTATTATTATTATTATTGTTATCATTATCATTATAACAAAAATAATAATGGTTTTGTTAAATATTATTATTAATTAATTAATTATTCGATTTGTAATACTAAGTTTTTTTTTTTTTTCAAAATTCCTCTCTCGACGATAAAATTTTGCTAACAATTATTTTTACCTCTAAAATTAATAAATTTTCTATTTTATTTTTTATATGAAATAATTGAAATTGAATAAATTTATAGCCATCATTTTTTAATTGTAATTGATAGATTAGAATTTATTTAGTGATTCGATAAGACCAAATAATGTAAAATTTTGAGAAATAAAAAATTGACTGATTTTGTGGAGTAATTTTAACAAAATTTTTATTTATTTTTATCATTTCATGATAAAAATTTCAAGAAAAACAGTACAAGAAAAACAATTTTTGTTTCTTTCTAGCATTATAATCTACAAATTACTTAATTATATTTGATAAAAAAAAAAAAGTTAGTCAAAGAATTTTGTAATGTAAATTTTAGGATGAAATTGATGAAATTCATAAAGCAATTAAAAGAAGTGATTTAAAACGAGTAAAAGAGTTAATTAATTCAAAAAAGTTAGCAATAGCACGAAATCGACTTGGTCATACGCCACTTCATACAGCAATTATTTATGAACAAACTGAAATAATTCGTCATATTGTATCAAATTTTCCATCTGTATTAAATGCTTCTGATTATGTAAGTTTTTTTTTTAGTTTATTTTGTTTTAATTAAAATATCAAAATTCTTAAAATATTCAAATAAAAAAAAATTGGAAATTTTTTTTTTGTCTTTTTTTTTTTGATTTGATTTCGAGTTATCACATTTTGAGGTATTTTTTAACAAACAACTAACTAATAATTCTTGAATATGACATTTTAAAATTTATATATTTGATGAAAATTTACACAATAGTTAAATAAAATTGGATGATTTATCAAATTGAAATATTTAAATATTAATTATTACATATTATAATAGTATTTTAGTATAAAAGTAATTTGGAATCTTTTAGAATCGACGTACACCAATGCATTATGCAGCAGCTACCCGTGATGGTGGTCATTATGTAAAAATTTTAATTAAAGCTGGGGCTGATTCAAAAGCAACGGATAATGTAATTAATTAAATTTGTTTTTTTTTGCAAAAATATTACCTGCAAGGATAAAAAAGATTTCTTAAAAGATTAAGTGAAGAAATTTGTCAAAATTATAACAGAAAGATTAATATATTAATAATAGAGTATCATACTATCATTATAATCTTAAATTAATTTGAAATTATTAAAAGAAAATGATAATGATAAATATAAACAATAATATGGATTATGTAAAATTTATGTTACTAAAATTATTTCTCTCTCTCTCTCTCTTTTTTTTTTAAATTTAAGGAAGGTCATACGCCACATTATTATGGTCTTAACAATGTGATTAATTTGGAATTGTTAAAAGAGACTGATAATAACGATGATAATAATGCTATATCAGAGAATTTCATTCCTGAACAACCCCAATTACACATCGATTCAGTATTGAGTAGTGGTTCAGCATCTGTTATCAGGTTTTTTCTTCTTCATTTTCTTTCTTTCTTTCTTTTTCCCTTCCTTCTATCTCTCTCAAAAATTATCATTTAAATAAAAAAAAAATTTATAGAATTTGTAATTTATAATATTAATCATTAAATTATATTCTCATATTTTCATAATTAATTTTTAACTTATCATTTTTATTCTATTACTGTTATTGCTGTAGTAATGATAATATTATTATTAATTCTTTTTAACTTAAATAATTATAAATAAGTAATTAGAAAAAAAAGTTATTTTGTTAAATGTTACATTATTTTCTATTTATACTTAATAATGATTAATTATTACAATTTTATTCTTACTGTCTTTTTTTTTTTAAATTGTTATTTATTAAAATATAAATTATCTTTTCAAAATTTAGTTCATCAAATGTATCGCCACGTGGAAGAGAACAAAATGAAACAGATGATGAGGATAAATTTGAATACGATGAAATTGTATCACCAACTAGCAGTAATGCTGTTTATTTGGCAAGAACTATTGCACCAATTCTTACTAAAGCACTTACTGAGGTTTTGTTTTTTTTTTTTTTATTTTTAAAAATAATTTTAATTATTTTAACTTTATCTTTTTTATTTTTTATCCTAAAAAATATGACAAAATTGTTGAATTTTTTTAATTTTTATTGAGTCAATTTCTCTTTTTTTTTTCTTTGTTATTTATTATGGAAAATATAATAGTAAAAATGAAAAAAATAATCTTTTGGAGACATTGCTGCGAAGACCGATTGATCCGATCGCTTTTATCGCTAATTGGCTCACTCAATATCGTGAGAAAAATCCATAGCATTAATTATGTGGTAATTTTAATTTACTACTAATTAGATGGTTTTAAATTGAATTTTTAAAAAAAAAAACTTTGTCAAAATAAATTTTTGACAATTTGTGAAAAAAAAAACGATTTGATTTGTTTTTTTGTTTGTTCAAAATTTTTTCTGACTTTATTAAGACAATTTATCACAATTAAAAAAAAATTTTTTTTTGATTCTTTTCACCAAAATTTAATTCTTTGAATTCTTAATTAACGATGAACATATATGATATACAATTTATGAAAACTACGTCAAACAAATTGGACAATTTTTATGCAAAGTTTAAAAAATAAGAAAATATGAAATTAAAAAAAAAAAAAAATGATGAGAAACAGAATCACGCAAGCATCACTGCAAAGAAAATAAAAAAAAAATTTTTTTTCTTTTCAGCAACTATTATCTTTTAAATTTTTTGATTCAATGAAAACTTAAAATTTTTTAGTTAATTTGAAAAAAAAATTGTGAAATTTATAAAGATTTTTTGCAACTGATTTTATATAAATTTTAACTATCGCACAAATTATCAGATAAATGTCAAAAAAAATTTTTGTACAAAAAAAAAAAAAAGAAATAATAAAAAGAACTGAAATAAAATGATATTATCTAGGAAAAGTTCCGGATGTACTGGTTGCAAATGATATGGATGATGATCGATGATTGCTTGATCGATGATATTTCGATAATGCACCAGTGGATGTTAATTTGATTAATTGTGGACTAAACGGATGATTAAGTTGTAAATGTTGTATGTATTGATCAAACACCGGAGCCGTAAAGCCACAATCTTCACATACAAACACCTGAAATATTATTAATAATATTTGTTGTATTTATAAAAATTGTTAAATCTAAAATGTTATTTGATAATAAATCTAAATTTAAAATTTTAATTGATAAAACTAAAATGTTAATATATAAACAAAGCATATATCCTTACACATTAAATTAATTACCATCAATTAATTACTGTTTTAAATTTTATCTGTTACAAACAGTATATGTATAATATTTTGACAAAAAAAAAAATCTTTTCACATTTGTATTATTTAATTACATTAATTACAGTATATCATTCTCTTTTTTTTATTTTATAATAATATGCAAATAAGACAACAAAATTGTTCAAATTTTATATCATTTCGCTACATTAACCTTATTTCTATCAACATAAATCATTTTTTCACCTTTTTTTTTTCTTAAATGAAGTAATTAAATATTACCTTACTTCGTCGTTCTTTGTAACCGTAATTATGTTGTGTACCGTGTACCTTACGAAGATGTGATTCTAATGAACATCGCTGTGTAAATGATTTCTCGCACTGATCACATTTGTATGGTCGAACACCTAATTTAACAGCTAATTTAACTTTTCATGCTATTAATTACCATCTATTTTAATTATCAGCATTCTATAATACTTTTATTTTGTTTACAAATTACTATTTCAAGGAAATTCGAAAAACTTTTATTTACTTTAATTATAACTATTCATACATTCATAATAGTCATTTATCATAAAGCATTAATAAATTCCTAATTTTTAGTTTTAGTTTAAAATTAATTAAAAAAAAATATATTAAACATAATTTTAATGAATAAATAGATTGAATGAAACCTGTATGAGTTCGCGTATGTCTCTTCAAATCAAATGTATCATTGAAACCTTTACCGCAAAATGTGCACAGGTATCGTTTTATTTCTGAATGACACTTTGCATGCCTATTTAAAAGCCTTTGTAATGCAAACTTCTGCAAACAATAAAAAAAAATGTTGTCAAATGTATCAAATAAATAAATAAAATAATTTATTTACCAAAAAAAAAAATGAAAAACTTTGTCGTTGAAAATGAATTAAATTTATTTAATTTTGTAGCAAAATAGAAAAAAAAAGAATGAATCAGATTAACAATTAATGAATAGGAAATAAAATGAAGTGATTTAATTGCTAATGAAACAAACTTTTCCACATATTCGACATGTTAATAAACCAGGTTCAGAAGCAGGAGCTGGTGTTGCATCAATATCTGGCATACGGTAGCTTTGTAACATTGGATTCTTTACACCGTATCCACCGTTTATCCATTCTACTGTTGTTACACTCAACTACAACAAAAATATTTCCTTTTTATAAAAAAAAAAATATTAGAAAAGATATCGAGTGATGCAAATGTAAATGTAAAAGCTGTGGATACTGTAGCAACATAGTACCGTAGCAAGACTATTATGTGGTACTGTACTGTTTTATTTTGGGCTGAGAATGAGAAATTCTTTTTTGTAGGATCTAAATAATATATTTTTGTATAAAAAATATATTTAAGTCTTCAAGTAATTAGATTTATTCTTAGCAAGAAAACAGCAGAATATTAATTTAAACTTTCGAACTTACAAAATTTATGTGATTTTCAATCAGGGACATTTTATGAGTAATAATTCTATTGATTTAAAAAAAAAACTTTGAAATAGTTTTTATTTTTCAAAACAAACACAATTTCAATCAAAAAATTTTAGAAATGAAATAATTCAAATTGAATAAAAGAATAACTGAGAATAATAGATACTTGTGAATAAATATTGTTAGTTTTATAGCTAAGCATTGAGTATCATTTTTGCAAATAATAGGTTGCGTAAAACTGTTGACCTCAATTCTTTTTCTACACTTATCAATATACCTATAGTACTTCTGTTTGGTAAACAAATGAATTGATTGAAATTGAAGTTATTTAAACGATTATTTGAAATGAAATTTTTGAAGAGATGAAGAGAAAAAAGCAACAAAAATATGCTTGTAGAAAGAGATATGATAAAAAAATATAAATTCAATTAGAATGAAAAGTTGAAAATAACAAAAGTTAAATAAATGCTGACTAATTTTACAGAAATACAAATAGGCTAAAACGATGAAAAAACTTGTTAAAATTGACATCTTAAAAAATAAAAATTCATTACTGTTGCAAAATTCAATCAAGTAGCTATTGTTTTAATCAAAAGTGAGGTTTAACTCAATTTTGTTGAAATGATTAGGATTAAATTTAGACTAAATTAAAAAAATATATACCGGTGATGGTGTAGTTTGCTTTTTCTCAACGGCTGATGGGAGTAAGCTTTCAACGAGAAACAATTTTGATGAATTTTGCTTTGATGTAGCTTCTGGACTTTTCAATTGTTGAGCTGATTCCGGAATTTTTAATTGCTGAGGTAATAATGATGATGATGATGATGGCGGAACAGCGGATTTTAGCACCGAAGGAAATATTGCCGGAAAGCCATGAGCTTCAAAAATTATTGGGATAGTAATAATAGTAATAGCAATGAAAAATTCAAAATGAAACTGTTTAGGAAGGAAAAAAAGTTAAAACTTTATAATTTTTAATTTGATATCTCTTATATTTTTTTTGAAATATACGGTGAAAAATTAACAAATTTTCTTCAGGCTAAAGTTTCAACTCTTAGGTTGTACTTCATTTTGTTTCTATTCTTGAACACTTGATAATATTTCTTATCTTTTTGTCATTTGGAAAGATTTTTCCTTTATCGTTTATTAATTAATAATATTACAATTATTAAAATTAAAATTATTAGTAATATTACAATTATTAAAAAAAATTTAAATTGAATTTGCTGCACTTAATTTAATGAAATATTATATGTCATTATAATACTTTTAGTAAAGTTTTTATCAATGAATTTGAAAATACTTCGCTGATATGATCAAATGTTATATGAACAGAAACTTACCGATGAATAATGATGGAATTGGTGGATAATAAATGGTTGTAAATGGTAAAGAAGATGGTAACCAAAAAGATGAATTCATTACTGGAATACATGTAGCAATATGTTGCTATTAGTATTATTTCTTCCAGCAATTAAATATTTTCCTTTCAGTATGATAACCTTGTAATTGTAAATTAAATTTGCTTCACTTAATTTAATCAAATATTATATCGATTTGCTGATATTTAATCAAATATAATATTTGATCAATTGGGAAAATTCAGATTCAAGGAATAAATATAGCAAATTTAACATCTGAAATGAACTTACAATTATTATTAACTCTTTGGTTATAAAATAATAAAGCAGTTAATTATTGATCACAATTTGTTAGTCTATCTAAGATTTATGTGTGTATGAAATCGGTGAAAAAAAAAAGGAAAAATATTGTTAAAAGATATTAAGTTGCTTTATTTGTCGGTTAATTAAGTTTCCGATATAATTTACCACCTTATTAAACAATAATACATTGAAGCGGTAAGAAAGAGCAATTATTTATACTTGATAATGGCACAAAGAAGAGAGAGAATGAAGAATGCAAAGAGTGAATCCGGTTTACCGGATACATGCTAGTATTGAAATGTTTCTAATAACATAAATAAGTCACTCCACCCATCGTATCCATTCAGCATTGCATCATAACTACCGTATGATAATGGATGCAATTGTCTTATCAAACAACCAATCATCATTTTTATTTTATTTTTTCCACACCAAATTAATGATAGCATTAGATAATATCAAACAACATTATAATTTCACATATCTTCTTCTTTTTTTTTTTTTTTTGTTTTTTTTTCTCTCTTTTATCTTTCAGTCATAAAAAGACATTTTGAAATAGTACATAAAATGAGATGGAACAGATAGTACTATTTAATGAAAAAATATGCAAAGCTGAAAAAGTTAAGATAATAATTTGTTTAAATAATAAAACTTAAAAAAAGATGAAAAAATTTTTAGGTTAGTTATAACAATGGTAATGAGATTATTTAAATAAATTATTTTAATAAAAAAGAAAAAAAAAATTATTGGATGAAAAAGAGGAAGAGTAATGACAAAATATTGACGGAAAAAAGACAGAGAGAGAGAGAGTGAGAGAGGAAAAGAAATAAGATGTAGGAAAAAAAAAAGATTGAAAAGGTATAAAGTACTGTAATGAGAAACGATAAGTGCCTCATATACACAATTCTAATGCACTATTTTAATGGGTTTTATTAATGCAAGGATGGCAATTATTTGAAGCATAAATTTGCAAATTAAGGCGTAAATGTGAAAGAACGGAGTATCAAATCGGAATTGAAATACTTCTTTATATTATATCATTCAAAATTAATCATTGATTGATAAATTATTACGTTACTTACCAACCAACCAACCAACGAACCAATCAATCAATCAACCCATCAACTATTTATTAAGTTTTAATCATTCAATTTCATAGTAACAGTAACTATTTTAGAATAAATCTTACCTAATTACAGATATCTCTGAAATTTGAAACTTTTATATTGTTAATACAATTAATCGTTATTTACCAAAAATTTTCAAGCCAATTTATTTATTAAGTGATATCTGTTTTTGGATAAAATAATTATCTCATTTAATGATATTTTTCCAATGTTCAAGTTTTCATATATCATCAAATGTGATTTACTTAGTTTTTCTTTTTTTTTTTCTTTTTGTTTTAAATTTTGATCAGATGATTTTTTAAATTTGTAATTATTTTGTATCTAAAATCATTTTTTTCTTTGCAAAGTATAGTGTATACCTTGCTAATTATTTTATATTATATAAATTAAACTTTTACAATAGTTAAAAACGGTTTTGACGTGTACTGTAACGTATGATACAGACGTATGTTATTTATATTTATTGTGATAAGCATCAAATTGTTTTTCATATGAATTTATTTTTCTTTGTTGTTATTCTGATCACTTATCTGAATGTATATTTTGTACTTTCAAAAATTCTGCGAATAAAACAAAATGAATAAGTAAATAAAGTTTTGGTAATAGGACGAAAATTTTCACTGCTAATTTAAGCAAGCAAAATTTTTTCTCTACTCCTCAAATTTTGTACTAGTAAAAGAAATTTATTTGACTTATTCCAAGGATCCAAAGAATGATTTCATTCTTTTGATAATTGTTAGTAAAACAAAAATTATATTGATAGAAGAAGAAATAAAAGGAAATCAAAAAAAAAAAAAAAAAGCTAACGTAACAAACTTTTGACTTATTCCAAATAAAAAACAAAAATGCTTTAAAGTACATATTAAAATCAACGTGACACATAAATGGCCGAGAATTATTTTTGATTGATACCTTTTTAATTATCTAAAAATTATCCAAACATTTTTTTTTTAGGTCAATGAATTTTAACATATTCGACAAGAGAAATCAGACATAATGTTTGATTATAACTTATATTTTTCTATGTCAAAATTTGAAATTTAATTATTTTTAAAGCATATAATTACCTGGAAACTTCTAATCAAATAATCTTTGCTCTTTGTTTATTTCTTTTCATCATAAACTACATTATTATTGATTCAAAATTCGTAAAATTTCATAAAATGAAGTGTCAATTTTCAACTTGACCTTGAAAAATACGGCCAAATTAGCAAAAGAATGATGATAATTGCGGTAGCATTAGTGAACAATATTTACAATACATGAAAGATGATGAGAAGAGGATGTGTAATAAGTAACGACTAGAGCGGAAGTGTAAAGGACACGATGATAAACGGAGAGAATTTTAAAGGAAGAAAAGAAAGAATGGAAAAGAGAAGGAGTAATATAAATTAACAATGAGTTAAGGTAAGATAAGATAAGGTAAGGTTATATTTCGAAGATGAATTGATCAAAGGAAAGGTTACCGTTCAAGTAGTACTTTCTTTACTGGCACAAATAATAACCAACAACCGTATAATAATAATAGGCATAACGATAGTATTAATGAAAACTTTCAACATAGTTAGAATGTGACAAAAGGAAACTTTTCAGGACATTAAGATAACCTTGAAGGTAACCCTCTCAAGTAATATGTTTATGCGATGTGAAATGATATGATTATGCATTCAATTAATTTTATACAATTTCATATATAAACATGTTAATTTTCTCAAATTATGAAATTTAAATTTAAATCATTGGTGAATATAATAGGATGTAATAATAAGAGAGATGATTTAGAGTATAAATAAAATTGATAACAGTAATAAGGGAGATGATTTAGAGTATAAATAAAATTGATAACAGTGAAGGTTAAATTAATAAAACTTTACTGCTATCGCTATTCCTATTCATACTGTCACATAAATGTCAATTTTATTGATTATTATAAGAAAAGCTAAAATTGTAAAATTAATTTTAAAACAATAAACAAAATAATATGCATAGAAATAAAGTGAAAATAATCTAGCATATTGTGATCACAAAAATTGCAAAAAAAAGGAAAACAAAATACAAAAAAACCTGAAATTAACAAGTTTAAAAAACAGTAATGAATGAAACATTGATGGAAATAAAACGAAGATAATTTAGGTAAGAATTAAATGATAGTATATTTAAATTTCACTTACCACTACTGCTATTTAATGGGTGGGACAATTAGAAAAAGAGGATTAGAGGAATGTACTGATTGAAAATTATCGAATTTTTGTGTGTAAATAATTGCCAATGAAAATTGCAAAAATTTTAATCTTTCTTTCTTTCCTATTTCAAATATTTTCTTTTTCTTAAATTTAGATACAGATTTATTTTTATTTTATTTTCATTAATACTGATATTAATTGTTGGTTTATTTTCATTAATATTACTATTTTCATTAATATTGATAATAATATTAATATATTATTATTATTGCTATTATTACTATTACTACTACTACTACTACTGATAACAATATCAATTATAAAAATTAAATTAAATTTCCATTTAAAAATCTACTCTTTTTCAATTTACAGTTGGGTTAAAAATGAAATATATTAGATATATTGAAATTAGTAAAAAGTTGTAAATTAATCAAATATCATTAACATTGTTATCAACAATACCTATCACATTATCATCGTTATTGTCATCTTACCCTACTATTACTTGTCATCATTACCTGTCACATTGAGTTATATTGTTGGAGGCTTGCACATACACACATACACATACACACACACACATACACATACACACACATACACATATTATATTATAACATGACATTCATGACATTTCAAAAAGTTTTGTTAATTTTATGATAGTGCATACAAAAGCGACAAAGCTGGTTTATTTCCATTCTTCTTTCACTTCTCCGCCCAATCAACCGTATCAGTGAGATGCAATAATCCAATCAGTGATATTTACAAAAGATTTTGAAACGGTAAAAATCTGCCGTAAACAACATGAAATAAATTGAATTTTATAAAATATCAAAAAATTTTTCATATAATCAAAATGCAAATACAAATTATAAAACCAATAGAAATTTTGATTTTAAAGTTTTTTTTTTCTTCAAAGAAAAAAAAATAAAGGAAACAACTATTCTTTTTCTAATTCAACCATTTTTAAATTTTCGCCAGTTCAATAAGTTTTTTTTTTAAATTTGGTTTTTATAAAACGCGCAGGTAAATTAAAAGAAATGATATAATTTCTAAAGTATTATTATTGTTATTTTCTTTTTTGTTTGTTTACTTTTATGGAATAAATATAAAATTTAGGGAAGGATTTATCACAAAATTCTATATCTATTGTTTCCTATTTTAAAATTATCTTTCCTCGTAATTCTTTTTCAACATTTACACTGATAATAATGTTTTTTATCATTCTATTTCTAATTAGCAAATGAATATACTTATTTCTTTTTTTTTTGCTTCATTTAAATAAAAATATAAATATTTATTTAGTGAAAATGTTTCTTAAAAATTAAACATTTTTCCTAACCAAAATAATTTTTTATTTTTAAACCATTTTTATAATTCTCTTCAAAATTTTCAAATCATTTATATCGAACAAAACGATGAATTTTTGATTACTAAATTTTGAAATA